TTTAGTAGAGACGGGGTTTCACCATGTTGACCAGGATGGTCTCGATCTCTTGACCTCGTGATCCACCCGCCTCGGCCTCCCAAAGTGCTGGGATTACAGGCTTGAGCCACAGCGCCCGGCCTAAAAAAAAAAAAAATTTTTTTAAAGTTAGTTTAGTGTGGTGGCACAGGCTGGTTGGGAGGCTGAGGCAAGAAGATAACTTGAGCCCATGAGTTCGAGGCTGCAATGATTGTGCTACTATTCTCCTGCCTGGATGACAGAGTGAGACTCTGGGAGAAAAAGTGATTCTTTCAAAAATGGAATTGTTTTCCGTGCTGGTAGCACTCACGCAAACATGGTGAACGTTCCTGAAACCCAGACTTTAAGAAGTGTGGCAAGCACCAACCCCACAAAGTGACACAGTACAAGAAGGGCAAGGATTCTCTGTATGCCCAGGAAAAGCGGCGCTATAACAGTAAAGTTCTGGCTATTAAAAGATGCAAGCATTTTGAATTAGGAGGAGATAATAAGATAAAGGGCCAAGTGATCCAGTTCTAAGTGACATCTTTTATGAAGACAATAAAATCTTGAGTTTATGTTAAAAAAGAAAAACATAGAATTATATATCCAATATCCAACATATTAGCTTGCTTTGTCACTACTGTCACATTTCTGATCAAATAAGGCATCCTAGCAGAGGCTTTATGTTTTTAAAACAAAGAGGCCTTCTTAACTGCCTCACCTGAAATATCACTACCTGTCAAAGATAAGTCTCTCCTCATACTCATTTTTCAATTATCTTAAAAATACTTATCATGGATGTATTTTTCCCTTATCTATCTCCCAAGCCATCCCTTGCCAGAAGAAAAGTTCTACAAAAGCATAAGGGTTTATTTATTTAATTATTGGTCTGTTTGATTTACTGCTAAATCCTAAGCCCCTAGGGAGAGCATCTGACAAATATATTAGACATTGATAAAACCAATTTTTTTCACTTTTTTTTGAGACAGAGTTTTACTGTTGTTGCCTAGGCTGAAATGCAGTGGTACGATCTCAGCTCACTGCAACCTCCGCCTTCTGGGTTCAGGCAATTCTCCTGCCTCAGTCTCTTGAAAAGTTTATCCTTATGTTTTTTAAGAGACACAGATCTATGTTTGAAGACCTATCTGGGTCATGCTGGCTCAATAAGCAGGGATATATTTGAATACTGTACCCATATGAGGACTGGGTGTGGGGGCCCAAGCTGATTTTCCTCCCAGCACTTGAGACAAACAGATTTCTTGAATAAGGTCCCTGTCCCCCCAAGAAAATAAGCTGGACATTTGAATTTCTTTTTATATTTACTGGCTCCAGGACTGACAGAGCAATATTCGCTGTGTTGCCCAGGCTGGAGTGCAGTGGCATGAGCATAGATCACTATACCCTCAAACATCTGGGCTCAAGTGATCCTCCCATCTCAGTCTCCTGAGTAGGTGGTATGGGGACTACAGGCATAAACCACCTCACCTGGCAACATTGCTTTTTATCTATCTGGTAGGTATGTAAAAATGGCATATTATTTTAGCATTCTGGAATTTTGAAGTATTATTTACAGGACAGTAAAAGCATGACTGGCTAAAATATTACTTATTGATTAGAGGTGGAATTACCTCTCTTGGAAGACTGGGGAGAATAGTGCCAAGGAAGGCTTCATAAAGTAAATGATTCTGAGCAATAGTTGTTCCTAATACTTAACTGTGTAAAGAATGAACAGTTGTGAAAACAGTGGAAGTAAAGGCATGGAAGTGGTAAACAGTATATTAGCTCAGGAGAACTGCATCTGCTACAGTTAGCAGCTTGACAATCATCTGCTCAAGACATTGTCCTAATTGTCATTCTTGATTTTTATAACATTTATTTATATCATTTCAAGATAATTTCTGGCATCATGAACCAACCTGGGCAACAAACAAGTGGTTCAATCCAGAAATATCCTATCATTTTTTTCTTTTATTTTTATTTCTAATAGAGATGGGGTTTTGCCATGTGGGCCAGGCTGGTCTTGAACTTCTGGCCTCAGGTGATCTGCATGCCGCAGCCTCTCAAAGTGCTGGTTTTACAGGTGTGAGCCACCACACCCAGCCCCTACCCTGTCATTTCTTGTGTAATTCAAGATTTACAGGGGCAAGTATGATGGCTCATGCCTGTAATCCCAGCACTTTGGCCAGCTGAGGTGGGAGGATCCCTTGAG